AATTTAGGCTCCGTATATCTTAAGCGAAGTTTGGACCCCCCCCCCCCCCAATACATGTTGCTGGATCCGCCATTGGTTGCATCATAGAGCTGAACAAAGAATAGTCTCATATTCAAACAAGTGTGTATGTATAAATATTATTATGAAATCTTACATGGTTCAGAATTGTTATTACTCGAAGTACAAAGAGGACAAATCTATATAGTCAGCCGAGACAATGTCTATCTACAAGTCAGCGCCATTGTGCGCATTATCGATTGGCCGCCATATAATCACGCCTAATGTAAAAATTGCTGGTGTGAACGAAGGATTATTATTTTTTTTTAATTACCGGGCATAACTTTCGCCGACGTAACTTAGTAAGAACACGATATATCTTTTATGAAAAGCGTGATTCCGTACGACAAAGGAAAATATCCCACCATGCATTCCGGGCAGCGCAGAAAACGCCTACGGAATTATTCAGTAATGACTTGTCACCATACTTGACTGAAATAACGTTATTTTTCACCAAACTAAAACCATACTCATTAACAGCATCCTCTAACCACCCACAAAATACAAGCCTCGACCACCACGGTGTTTAAAGGCACGTAACGACCGCATAAGTGGCAAAAGGAATATGGATTTGTGATGTACCGTGTAATATCGTTCGTAGTAGTTTTGGATTTTCATCACTACTCTTATTTGTACAACTGATGGAAAAAAACAACAGTTTATACTGACGGGACGCTTCATTACTTCTGAATAAACTCATAAATTTCAGTCAATTTGCCTTGTAACCGAGTTGCTTTATTTTGCAGGTTTGGTTTAGGTAAACCATGATGTATAATGTCAGTCAACAGTGGCCAATCACTGTGACTTCCTGTCAGCCAGTGGCTGCATGTCTTGTGGTCAACGAGACTAGCTCGATGAGAATACTTGGACACAATAGTAAACATAAAGTAGACACACATACTGTGTGTGTATATAGCAATGTTATGCTAGGGTAAATTAGGGATAATGCAGAGTAACCGCCAACAACTGGGGAATTGCGTCCTTGCAAATGTAAAGTTTCGGATGAAATAGTGCTTTGAAAACTGTTCCCATTTGTTGTATATGTAAATGGTTTCAATTTAGAAGGGAATTTTGCAACATGACATCCAATTAAGTATTAATTAAAAAAAGCAATTAGTTAGCATTTTAAACTTCGATGTAAATTTCAATGTTTGTTCATCACTGCTTCTACTACTACTTACTTTATTTGACGGCATATATTACGATATACAGTACATGTGTTACAGTACAATTATTATCATTGACGGCGTTTATACAATGCAAGCCATTTTACAAGTTTTCTATGATTGACAGGACCATACACCGTACTGACGCCCCACGATGGATGGAGACCAATGCACCATCAACAGCATAAACGAAAACGTAGTTGGTCGCGGGCAGTCTTCACCAATCTGCAACGAAAAGGTCTGGAAAAGCGATTTGAAATACAGAAGTACGTGACCAAGCCCGACAGACGGCAACTCGCTGCCTCACTTGGACTTACAGATGCACAGGTAACCTATATATTTTGTACTGCAGCATATATATGTACACTTATAATTTTAGACGAGTGGTATAAACACCACTAATCGTCGATGTGAGTTACACGTTAGATATAGGGTAATATATTGTCACGCCAAAGATGAGCAATTTTAAAGATTTTCGGTTTGTTTATTTATTATTTCTATTCTATATAGAATGTTCTTGTATACATTGGATTATGTTGTCACTGTGTACAATTATCTGCGTTAACCACGCAAATGCGCATACTTTCAAAGAATTATTTTATACGAGAGTAAAACCAATAAGTTTAGTAGTTCGCGCTGTTCACAGCCACGTGCAATACTAAATACCTAACGTCATCCATATTGACTACAAAACAAACTACTCATCGAATGTAATTAATGTGTCTGAAAAACCTAACTTGAATTTTACCGATGTTTATTAATACATACCACACTGATAACAAACTGGTCAGTGTGATGTATGGCCACTGTGTTGTTGTATCATACTATATATTGGAGAATGTTGAATGACATTAAACTGATCACATAGATAACATAGATCTGACGGTTTTTCTGCTTTGCTATATAACAATTGTGCATTAACACTTTCTAGTTGATATTACAATCTAGCATGTTTCAATTTGGCGTATTCCGTGGCATAGTTCAATTAAGGTAGTTGTTACAGCTTAAAACCTACCGCCAGATTTCTCTGACTTTTGCAATACGTCTCCATATTAAGTTGTTGTCATCCAGATGAAAAAAAGTATGGTCACTCAATTACTTTTTGAACATTGAGCAAAACATCTAGGAGCATTTTACCATTGGTTCCTATGGTAAAAGTATTTCATTTCCTTGGGTCACATATTGTGACAATTTCATTTATTATAAGATGGGTACCTAGTTGTCACTAATTAATGAGAAATTATGATGGATGCTTTTTATTTGTTATGGAATAATGCTTTACCGCGGACTTCTTTGGAAGTGCTCAAAAGTTGAGTTCACAGTCAACAGTATACTGTTGAAAGATCAGGAAATATAGTAATTTATTCATTCGTCCTTAATATACAATTATATGTATTGTATACAGGTGAAGGTATGGTTCCAAAACCGTCGAATGAAATGGAGACACACAAAGGAAATGCAAACTAAGAATAAAAATGAAAAACATGACCACCACGACGACGAATACGACGACGACGATACCAACTTGAAGGAACAGGATAATCCGAAAACTAGAAAATACCATGACAACACACCATCAAACAGAAAATCACGTGGTACAGAGTAATTGAAATGATGTATGTGATTATCGAGGTCTGTATCTATAACGATCATATCCGTGCTTTGTATCTTTGCACATGTATATATAATACAAACTGCGGTGAACATCGTGCGTCGAAATCCGTCTGTGTGACGGTTTGGTTTCACAAAATACCACCTACTGTATTTTACTGCTTCGCATTACACAGTGAGCCCAAATTTGGTGCTACGATCGAGCGTGAAAGGACGATCCTTTCGAACTACAGCGAATATACACGACGCGTCGAACTCCGCCATTGGTCTACCATGGGTGCTACTTAATATATCACTTGCCGAGATATGGTGCTTCAATTTAATTATAAAGTGATGTGCAATGCAATGTATTTCTGAAAAAAACAAACTTTTATCTGTTTCAGTGAATTTGTCTTTTTCAGTTGTGTCTATTTATATATCTATCTATATATATATTCATGTATCAGTCACTGTACTTTCACAAATTGGCAAATAAGAAACACAGAGTGTGTAAAGCAATAAGTGACCACGGAGAATAGCTTTAATTATAAAACGCACACATTTCATAGACAGCCAACGATATACCAGAATGAGGTTGGAGTTTCTTGTTTAATTGATACGCACTCAATGCGTTGTAGGTCAGAAGAAACATAGATTGATTTTGCCAGATGTTTTTATCTTGTATCACAATCATATATTATGTAAAGTACAGGGTTTAAATCAGCGTTGACATTATTCCTAATAAACCACTCTAAATATAGACAATCTTGTCCACGTATCTCCTGATTTCAACGCCGCAACCCATTCCAAGGCCTCTTCTAATTTCAACGGCTGCCAACCACTCCAACTGTATCTCCCAATTTTAAAGGCGGCAAATCACTCCCATGCATCTCCTGATTTTAACGGCCGCAAACCACTCCAGGCCATCTTCTGATCTGTCTGATTTCAACGGCTGCCAACCCCAGGCACCTCCCGATTTTAACAGCGACAAATCACCATGCATCTCTTGATGTTAATGGCCGCAAACCTCTCGAAGCCATCTTCTGATTTTAACGGCTGACAACTACTACCATGCATCTCAAGATTTCAACGGCCACCAACCATTCCGTGATTTCAGAGCGGCCTTTAACCACTCAATTCCACGGCTTCAAACCCGTGGGCTAGATTGGCTGCGTCCACACATACAGGAACATTATCTAAATACTTAGAAATATTGTTAATACTTAACTGGTACTCTTAAGTACTTTTTAGATAGAATTCAGTGATAACCGGATAGCCTGTGGTAAGCATCCACTGGGACAGTGACCTACTCACTTCAATTAGTAATGTGGCGTACACGTTTTTAATATTATTTCTTCTAGCCCGTTCTCTAAATATACTAAACGATGGTCCAGGGAGTTAATAGTCCCCGAGGTGAATGTGTTACACACATATAAAGGGATTTGTTACACGGGCTGAAACATTGATACCCTGCCTCGTCAAGTTTCATTGGCGAGCCAGTTGAAGCTGCCAGTCGAGCTTATCGCGGATAGAAAACATTGACAATACAAACCTTGTTTTTGGAAACTTCGAATGAAACTGAAAAGATCGATCTTGAATTTCATTTTATGAGCAGACACACCAGTCATGCATGCCGTGTCGTTTTCTTCACTCGCTACGTTAATAGGTCTGCTTGATGGCAGTTGCAAGGTATATCCATGTATCACGTCCCGTCGACTCCCGCCACAGCGAGCCACTCATGTTGTTTTCCCTTCGAGTGAAATGCAACATTGGAAACGAACAATTGTTTTTTTCCGCAGGTGTGTGCATGGTTTAATATATTCTCAGTGCTCCCTCATCCGGGCCGTTGTGAATCAATGTTTCCTTGGTAATGATAAGAGTGACAACAGTAATAGTTGATGAAGTGAAATCTCAATTAGTTTTTGTATAGTACATGCCAGCAGTGATAATAATGCAATACGAATATGGTACTATTTCAATTTACCAGATGGTATATTCCGTAATACAATGTAACTAACAAAAATGTTTAAAAGGAAATTGTTTAGTAGAAAATAATAACCAGTATTTGTATATAAAATCGGTGATTATGATCGAATTGTTCCCGCTATATTGACATACATGACGTACGTAGATATTGAGTGTGTATTACGTCATTTGTTTCATTGTCTAAGATATCTACGTTAATGCTACTTGTGCATTACGTCATCGTTACATTCACAGGAATAGTAGCTATAGTAATACAGTGATCATCATTTGGTAGTTTGGTTCAAATATGACAGATGCAACTATGATGTTGTTGCCATGGCAAATCAGATACTAGATAAAAAAAAATACATTTCACTGGAAAATATGTAGTTGTTTATTCTTATGTCATAGTTCGTAGCGAAAAAGTACATTCGTATTGATTCATGTCAGCGTGTCCCAGGGCGGCGTCCTGCAAAGTGATTTTTATCAGGCTCTTAATGTATTTATCTGTTTATCTAAGGTTGACTGGCAGTGGACTAACACTCTCACCTCGATGCCAGCCGTGATTTGTCAAACTAGTAAAACAGCCAGCTATTGGATGAGATATCATAGTTGCTATTTATTCGCCCAAATTTTAAGGTTGTGGCGTGCAGACTGATTTCCTTCCATTTTGCTGAACTTTGCTCTGCACGCCAAGTGTCGACTCGAGGGATTCTCGGGGGGCGTTTAGAGACGCCGATCGATAGTGTTTTGAAGAGAAATTGTACAGTAAAAGCAACAGGAAATGAGATTAAGGGCCATGACTTCCGTGGGAACTACATGCATTGGAACTTGCTCACATGTCAGGCCGGAAAGTGGTGCTAAACTTGTAAGAATGTGTTGTGATTCGTGTCCAATACGGTATTGTCTACATCGCATTGTAATGCCACTACACCAATTGGTATTGGTTGTGAGTAAAAACAAACCAAATACGTCTGAATGGCTATCTGGTGCTGCCAGATTGACAATGATCTATCAGTGACTATTGTAGAACGAACAGCAATAAGACACGCTTGCATGCGATCCATGATGAAAAAGTAACATGACGCTAATCAAAACTAACTCACAAACAATTAAATTTGAGTTCGTGACAAGAAACGTTACAGAAATTGGCGTTTACATAGGACCTCCGCAGACACGTAAACATAATATAAACTGCATTTTATTTGATTGATTAAAACTTGAAGCGATCGAGTCAAGAATTTTAAGGAGCCAAGACTCAAGTACAGGTAATAATATCAGAAGGCATTGTGATCATCGTGTTCCATACCAGTTACCATGGCAATGGAAATATCGATAGGCTAAAGTGATTGACATTTGCCTCACCTTGGCGTATGTACACGTACAGGCAGTAGCGCCGTTCTACTTGGGACGTCAATTCTGCTTCTATTAGGTTTTAAAGTGAGATGGGATAGAATAGTAACACTCCATTGTATCACTACGGAAGTATGCTGGCTGACATATAGAGACGCTTGGTGTACAGCCAGGCGACATGACTGTCGCTGACCCGTACCCGTCCGATCAATTGGGGATGGAAGTAACCGGAGACATCTGTCTACTACAGTCTAGACAAACCAGAATAAAACAAATTATATACAAAAATAATAATATTCGGACATCACATTTGAATCCAAATATCAAAATAATACGTCAATGTGCGTATGGAAGGTTCCTCTGCTACCTTCCATGATGTACGGTCAGTCGAAAGAGCGATGGTCATACTGGAGGCACATCACGGAAAGATACGAAATCTCACCTTGGCTTAAAGTTGACGATACTTCGGCTGAACAATATATGTACACAGATTTAATTATAACAAACCGAAAGCGTCAACTGAAGTGTCACCTTTCAGGGAATGTAAACCAGATCGCGCATATTCGCTGTCTGTTTTTACAATTTCTAACATGTCCGGTTGGCTGATTTCCCCTCATCTCGCAAGCTCAGGTTGTTTTTATTTCTTGAAAACCATTAACCCGTTCTTCTATTTGGTCTTGATGGGCTGTAAGTTTGTGTTCGGGGTGAGTTGTTGCTCTATTGCATGCATAAACACACTTCCAAATGGTAATACGAAAATCTGAAATGTGGTGTAACTCGACAACACCGAGCCCCCTTGCCCACTCGACTTTCCCACAGTGTTCTGATAAGATACGCCAATTTGTCAACGCGCGCAGACGTCGCGACCAACAGTGATATTCTAACACCAAGAACGCGATACAATCACAGTAGATACTACTATCAATTGTATAAGTTACATCACCTGGAAATTAAGCAATACACATAAAAAATCCCCGAATAAAACATTTGACAGGATTGTTAGAAATTGGCCGCGAATAACATACCTGGCACAAAACAGATCGAAAACAGCAAGCGATCGCATAAAGTCTGTGTTAGTAAGGTCACAATGATTATTCAAAACTTATAATTATACGACTATTTGCGGTGTGTGCTAAGCATCTACCACTTGGTACAACAGGTTTCGGACTACGGGCAGTCACTTGCATTGTACGTAATGTAGGATCTTCCATTCCAGGAAGGTAGCAGATTGTGGGGTAGGGGCACAGAAGTACGGGGCAGCCATCCCGGATAAAACTCATCTAATGTATACACTTTCAAGTTGGAGAAATATCTTTTGAAAAGTAGACCAAAACAATAGTTGGTAAGCACGGCAGGCACTAGTTTTAATATACCAGTATATATTATGAGAATACCACCAGGTGTCAAATAAACGATTTTATGTTGTTGAATTTATTATAATACAGTGTATTTCATGAACTTTTCATGGAAATTAAAAAAAAAACATTTACCTTGGAAATCCAAGCTAAGGCAATCCATTTTGTAGCAGTCATTTCCTACGAGTCTTTGTTCTTTCAATCATTGTTCCATTTACTACCATACATGCTAAGACATTAATGAATGGTCATTTTGTTTTCAACAGTCATTTAAATTTTATAAAACATTTACTGTTTTATAAATATTTTATATAAAAACATTCAAGCTTCAGCGAATTTTCAC